CACCTCCTCTTGTCCACCTGTGTCTCCACCAGCCTTGTGTCAGCTCCAAAATGTTCTCATCCTGATGAGTTTATCATTTAGACATCTTAAAAGTGGATTCCAGATGTCGTGGTTTCATGCCACACTCAGACGTGCACAGTAAAAGCAGCAGTTTGTTTTCAGTGGACGTTGTTGCTTTGTTTGATGCCTTGATTGTCACTTGACCTTGTAAGTGAATGAAACAGACACATCCCATTACAGGATTTAAATGTCATTGGCTTTATTTGCTGTGTAACAGGATTGCATCGTGTGCATACAGTGTACCACACATACCTACCTACCATACCATACATACCATACAATACAATACCATACCATACATGCGTACTGTGTTGCCTAGCTGGAAGTGGGTACAGCAGCCTGCCATCTGTGCACATATAGTAGTAACAGCTTGATATGTGTTTTGGTTTCTGACACTTTAATTATTACTCAAAGGCTTCTTGTTAACTTGATTAACTTGATTGGTATTGGATACAGTATATAGTAGGGTTCATTTGCATAATTTCATATTTTATAAATTCCTGTTTTTTGGTAGTTGTGCTAAGAGGAAAATCTTTTATTTCAACAGAGGATGATGCTGCTAGGTAAATATCCATTATTTATCAAGAGGTCAGTATCGGTCCATTATATCTGTGTATTTATATCTTAACTCCCCATCTAATATTTATGTTGAGGCCAGTGGCTTCTGTGTGCTGGAAATATGAAGGTGGATCACTGTAGTCCAGTTTCCACTGTGTGTACAATGATGTTTGCATATTTGACTTAACGTTTCTCCTTCTCCAGTCCAGCGAGAAAAGATTCATTAAATAAAACGAATGAGCCGTTATTCTAATTGTTTGTATCAAAAGGCATTTTGTGATGGCTGTGGCTCAGCTTTTTCTTTTTCCCCGGTAAATTCACTATACAGATGTATTCCCTGGCAGTGGTAGTGGAGGGACGTTCTCACAGAATTATTGTTGTCTGCCTGCCATTTAATTTATGGTATAGCTATAGTTTTATTTTCCACATTTCTCCTCATTGTTGTGACCTCCAGGCCCAGCATGTCAGGATCTAGGACTATGCCTTATTTTTCTATTCTACATTGGATTAAGTAAGAGGTGAAATGTATCAGGACCACTCCTCTAGGTTACCATTAAAACCTTGTCAGTTTACAGTGGATGTACAACACAAAAACTTGCTTCTGTAGCATTGTCTTCAGTTTGTCTGAGGCTTCTTGATCAGTTTAATGTTGATTTATTCATTATAGAGTTGATGCTTCCCCTTGAATTATCTGCTATGATGTGAGTGCAGGGCAGAATCTGGGCCAATAGTGAGTATACACTGCATTATAATGACTTGGTTTCCCACTTTAGTTCAGATAAGAATATGGCAGTTTTCCATGATAAATATCCTCAGTGCTGCAGCAGCAGTGCCCTCACAGACGGCATCATTTCAGAGTCCCTGTCCTAATCTCACTCCATCGTAAATCCTAAAGCCTCTCCTCCTCAAAAAACTAATCGATCCCTGTCTGACAATGCAAAGAGTCTCTTTAGTATAAAAGATATCATATGTCATAGAAAGTATATATAGTATGTAGTAAATCGCCAAGTTTCTAAAAATAATCTCTGCATTTGTGCAAATCACATCTTTGTTGCTCTTTGTAAAATGTTCTCTCTCAAGCAAGTCGCAGCACAACAAATGTTCTTCCCATTCACTGCAAGCTTGCAGGAGGATGATGAAGCTATCTTGTCAAAAGGGTCTTGTGGGCAATTTCACGCAATGTATGTGAGAATTTCATGCTTTAAATACAATTGTGCTTTAGATTGTTTCATCGGAGGTGTGAATGAAAGGGGCTTTGACTGAAATGACGATGCAGTGGTGCAGCCTGCTTTTGAATTTGTCAAAGGCCTGTCAGGTTTTTGTCTTTTGTCCTCATGGTTAAACTTAGGCTAGCTGTGTCATGTTTTTCTGCCTCACAGTTTGCCATCTGTGAGGGTATCAGCCTTTTCTCAAGTGGTATTTACTAACCATCTCCTACCACCTTCTGTCAGACATTACCACAGAATTGACTACCTGTGTCAGCAGGCAGTCACACTTTTTAAGACCTACCTAATGGTAGGGGTGTGACGAGTCTCACGATATTAAAACGTGACGATATTTCTTGTTGTGATATCAATACATAACAGAACCAGGCTAGTATGATGGAGTGTGACCATGCATTCACATTATTCTGGCAGAAACACAACTCCCAGCTGTGTTTTAATGCACAAGGCCGCACAGGTCGGGGGGTGAGGAGCTACTTCTAATCGAGAATATGTGTGATAAGTTGCAAATTGGACTGGCGTTGTCTGCCCTTGGTCTTTAGGTTGTGGAAGAAGAAAGAAAACCACAGAGGCAAAAAACAAGGACAAACTGCACTAAATGGGTGAAATCAAGGTCATTACAGCAACAGGCTCAAGGGGCTTTCATGAACCATTCTCTTCTCTTGCACTGATTCGCTAAGCTGAACAGCCAATCAGAAATGGTCTTGCTCACTGCCTGGGCCCACTGCCTATTCAATATGCTCTGTATCAGCTGAAAAGCCACAGACAGGGTTTGGTGTGGGACACACCCCAAAAAGTAGGGTGAATGTGTGTGTGTGGTTGTTCGTCTGCGTGTTGGCCCTGCGATGGACCGGCGACCTGTCCAGGGTGTACCCCGCCTTTCGCCCGATGCCGGCTGGGATTGGCTCCAGCCCCGCCGTGACCCCGTTCGGGATTCAGCGGTATAGAAAATGAGATGAGATGTTTACTTTGTGCACTGAGACAGATTTTGAAAGCATGTCTACTTAACCTCTGGCCAAACTTTAGTCACTGGAAAAAAAAGGAGTTTGGTTGGTGATTTTCACTTATTGTGGTGTCTACATCATACCAGTCCTGAACAACTAGCTTGTGATTAATTTCCATTGATGATGGCACACAATGTAAGTCATTAGCTTTGCTGAAATTGGATTTGGCAGAATGGCATTTAATATTGTCTGAAAACAGAATCTTTCATTGAGCATCAGGGATCTTCTTATTAGTCAGGTGATGAATGTGTAATGTTGAGGCTTTCTGCGACATTTAACGACCAAGGATTTCATTTCACTGTGCAAAACATATTCCAATTAGGGTTTAACTGTAAAGACTCAGAGAAAATACTGTTTAACAGCCATTTATCCTGGATGTACAGTGTCACTTACAGAGCTTTTTGGGAGCAGCTGAGGAGAACTGAGTAATAGTTTAATCTTTAGGTATTTCTTACTTTTATTTTTATACACAGAATTGTGGGTTACATATACATTTGTAGGAGTACACAGATGCCAACAACATGTTTGCGTGGCAGCCTAGTCAGACACTTGACACAGTGGTAATTAATCTGCTGTCTACTGAAATAATGTTGCACAGTTAATTGGATAAACATGGGCTTCAATATGTAATGGAGCTGGTAATCTTGGGCCGCTCCATTCACATCTATTTTTACCAGGTTTTTGTTTATTGTCAGTGTTAAAGAGCTAAAAAGGAAAACAATAAACAGTCTGGTTTGATATTAAACTGAGCTGCCTTTCTTTGTAAAATAGCATATGGCATAAATAACATAGCATAATAAATATATAAAATAAGTGCCTTTGATAAATAAAGGATGAATTGATATTTGTTACAGACTTTTTCAGAAAATGCCAACATTAACAAAGATTTGAGCCGTCAGTTAGTGTTGTGGCTTTAATGCTCCTACATAACCACAGGCAAACTATGATGCTATAGGAATTATTAAATTTATTAGATTATTTTTAACCCCAGATGGATGATTATGTAACCAGAACAGCTTCCTACATCACATTTAGGCCACATGCTTATTGCGCTCTGGTTTATGATTTCTTGCCATTGATTGTTTAGGCGATCGCAGCCGTTCATGACAAGGCCACACTGAATTGTCAGACTGTTTACATTGAAAGTGCCCTTCTGAACAAGGATGCTGGCATTTAGTTGAGGGCAGAATGGTTGTATGCCTGAGCAGAACAGATGAATTTAACAAGTTCTGGATTTTTTATATTCTTATCTAACAGTCAGGACGAAAGTAAAAAGGTCTTGAACATTATGTAATGGTTGCAGTCTGCAGCCCTAAGCTTTGTGATATTGTGTTTCAATTAAATCTATCACTTCAAAATACAGCAAAGAGTTTTTAACTCTTCTTTGGTGTTTGTGTTACAGTTTGGTAACCTCTCCCATTGTATCAGTCCTCCACGGTGCACTGTCAGCCAGAATTAGCATCATTTTTGCAGATCTGTAGCACAGATATGTCACCCTCTCCTCTCACTGTGGAGTGAGCACATAGTGTGTAAGAGAGGCACATCTCCTCTGCATCAACACTGCCAAGATATGTCACTCCCTGCAGCTTTTTCTGCAGCTGCCAGCTACAACTATCTGCGGCTGAGATACATCCCAACTACTGCTCCACACACCATTCTAACAGTCCTAGTCGGTCATTACTGCAGCATTATCTTAAATCATCCTGATAGAATTTGGTTTCCTATCATATAAAGTGAAATATAAAATGTCAGAGCATTGTGGATTAAAGATGGAGAATGATGTGTAGTACAAGGATTTTCATCCCTCTAAACATGACACCTGAAAACCCTGTATATACTTGACCCTCCATAGCTCATGGTAGGAGACAATGCCTTTTAAGGCATTTAGGATCTCTTCAATATATGTGGTGCTTCTAAAAATAATATTAGAAGCAAATCCTCATTAAACATTTACTTGTGTTGCATTGGGAGGAAAGATAAAAGCCAAGTTGGCAGTTTGAGAAGTCTGATTATTAAGAGCACAAAAAATAAAATATGTAAATAGTTCATTAGTGCTAGTGAGAAAAAAGCAAGCTCTCTTGTCTCAGGACAGAAATTATTTGTATAGATGTTTTTTTTTAATAATGGTCACTGTTTCTGTTTCTCTTTCTCACAGTCAATAAGCACAAACCATGGATCGAGACAACGTACCATGGGATTGTAACGGAAAACGATGACAAAGTGCTTCTGGATCCCCCTCTGATTGCGCTGGACAAGGATGCTCCTCTACGTTACGCAGGTGAGAGAGGAGGCTTAATGCTGCTCCTTTGCTACCTCATCTTCACTTAACCAGGAGTTACTCACCTCTCATTTCACACAAATGAAAGAGAAAACATAGATTGTGTAACGTGTTATAATTAGAGCTTCATAGACCTTTTAAGCATGTGGTCGGTTTAATGGGTTATTCGTAAACTAAGCTAATATTGCTTGAAAATGAAACAGAGCAGGCTGAACAGTTAAGTACAACCCTAAATCTAATTGTATGTCATTGTTAATAAGTGAAGGTCCTTCTCTCCTCGCTGTGTTTTATTATCTATACTGTAGTTCACACTGTTTCTGTTGTATAGGTTATACTTGAGATTATATGTGCACTTACACAAATCAAATGATCCCTAGCTCAACATTTCATGCTCCTCTGGTAGCAGTCTGTTGTGGCTGGTTGGCATTCTGCACCACATTATTTTTTAATGACATGCCCGTCATGCTGACGTAAAGCTGGCTGCTCCTTTTGATAGTCAGATCAAAATACTCTTTCAAGTTATTTTTCCTCCCAGTGGAGAGGCACAATTAGAGTGCATTATGCACCAAGGCATTGTTAGCTCTGGGGGGGGGTTTAATCACATCGTGATCTACACTGGCTGGGATTCAAAGCACCACAGCATTGGAAATGATTCCCTACCATTTTACATCTCACGTGTTCTGTGATCTGTTGTTTGCTACTCCTTTCACACTCAGTGCTCCTACTCTATTTGATATGACCATTTTTATCCCTGATTACTTCTCCTGATTTAGTAAGTGAGGCTTTCACATCCACGTGCCTGTCCGAGGAAATGCCAGATGTAGTGTTCTTCACAGCTGCGTGAAAAGCAATTGAGCACCGATTGGTGTGGCAGTCTTTAAGGTAGACAATCCTACCAAGGAGCCTGTAATTTCTGTATGCTAGTCTCCAGTCACATTAAATTAGTTGAATACGCAGCTTGGTGCGCCCTCTCCTTTTTGATATGCAGGGTTTTGCAAATGGACTGCCTGTCCCTGTGAACTATAGATCACTTTAGGCAGAGAGTGATTTGGCTTCACGTGGCAGCAGGGCTGACCAGCTAGGCCATCCCAGCCTCCTCCTAGTCGGCCCATCTGTGCCAACGAACAGGGTTCACTGTAAAGCTGACCCATAGGGCACCCACCAGCTCAATCACAGGCTCCTAAGTCAGATCAGTGAGAATAAGTTTAGCATGAATGAGGAGCAAGCGCACGACTTTGTGTGTAGTAGTGATGTACTGTCAGGCTGGGTTTGGGTGCAATTTTGTGTGTGTGCGTTTGTGCATATCTGTGTGGTGAATTCACTCAAAGTGATTGGAGTTAAAATGGCCTTTGCAAACTGAGCTCAGTGTTCATGGATGGCTGTGCTCTAAAAGAAGCAGGATGGATTTAGCCAGCAGATCTGGGCTTTTTGACTCATAGAGGAATAACAGACAAGGTGACAGAACAAAACACCCTCATTTCTGCAAATCACTGTATTTATTTAGTACCAGTGGGTAAATGATCACTGCATGTCAAGACTGCAGCATCAGTACATAACAATCATTGTGATGGCTGATCCAGTCTGAGCCCAGAGACCTGCGTGACCAGTGAAGAGCTCTGGTGTGAGCCGGTCATTTGGTCTGTGTTGAATACGGAAGCCCACAAATCCCTCAAATAGCAGCCCCTAATGTGAAATCCATTTCTAATTGTTCCAAGCAGAAAATGGCTTCCATCATGTGCTCCCAAGATTTGTTTTCTACATTAAAGTATGATGAATCAGTGAATGAATCAACCATACACTCGGTGTGAAATTCTGAGAAGGACAGAGTTTTCGACAGACAGACGGCAGAATCGCCCCAGATTTGCTGACATAAAAAAGTCAGTTTGTTGTACCTGGGTGTTCTGTCATTTTGTCATTGGTTGTTTCTTCTAAGAGGATTTGCTGAGCCGTTAAACAGCTTTTGATAAATGTTTTAATTCGTCCTTTCTTTCAACTTTTCTTTGACTTCTTAGGAGAAACTGAATATAAGCACTTCTGAAGGTGGTTTTGTAAGCATATGGCCAGAGTTTGTTTCCTCCCTGTCCTCTGTGTTTTCTCTGAACTTCTCTTAACTGATCTGGATTTATTGTTTCTTCTCCCTTCCTTGTAGAGAGTTTTGAGGTGACCCTCTCTGAAGAAGGTGATCTTGGGCTCTTTCTTCTGCCTTGTGCTTAGTTGTTGTTGTTATTATTAACCCACTAACGCAGAAACAGCATCCGCACCTTTACACAGAAACTCCCGTCATGCTCTGTTAATCTCCCGCATTTGGTTTTCTCAACTTTATGTTGTTCTCACCCTGAATTCCAACAGCTGGATGAAAAGTGTGATGTGGGGCTGACTGTACTTAGAAATATCTGTGCATGAGACATCCATTGCAGTTTGCAGACCCTAACAGTTTTTCAGCTGTCACCAGGCAACAGAGCGCTGCTTAAAAAAATAGGAGTTTTCAGTCACTTTGCTGCCAATTCAGTCCTTTCAGTTAAAGGATGTGGAGGACTAAGCTAATCTTTGACATGTTTAGTCACTAAATGGCACATGAGGTGATTTTGTGACCTCTAAATGTTCATTGCAGTTGGATCAGAAATTGACCCTAGAATTGGTGTCTAAAGAAGATAAACATCTTGCAAATGTGAAACGTCCTAAAGGCGCCAACGATGTCCGTAGTGCCTGTCTGTGACTGATCAGATCTATGCAAATGCAGTGACTCCTGTGTTCTTTTCTGATATTTAACTCTTTTAAATGAAAGCTGCTGAGATTGTTAACTAATGCAAACTCTCTCTGCTGCAAAGTTTCTGTTTTGCATCTTTGCCTCAGTGGATCTCTTGAGTTAATTCTCCACCACTATTGTCTACCATTAGCATGGCTGCAGTTGTCATTTGATGTGGATGTCAAGCAAGCTGATATTTCTAACCCCAGTTCTCATCCAGTACTTTTTGTTTGAATACTCTTATTGTACTGGTTTGTTTTCTATTATTTTATGATTTGATTTGAAATAATTTTGCTGTAGTTTTTGAGTGAGGCAAAATTACACAGGAAGACTTATTTTAATTATAAAAATAAATATTAAAGGGTTTTTTTTAGACATTTTTCACTGGGTTTTTAGGATTTTGATGGCTGAATTGGTGCTGGATCACCTTATCACAATGCTCTCTACTATAAGAAATTTTAATTTTGCTTTTATTTTATTTATGTAATTTTTTTCTCTCATAAGATAGGTTGTAATTTCATTCATTACAGAAATAACTGTTCTTCAAATACGGTTCTCTCTGTGCTTAGTGTGCTTGGTTTCATGACTTTGATTTATAATAACCTAAGTACTCCTGTGAAATGCCTGTCCACATCTTTTCGGTTTCTGCCTGCATGACTGGATGCAATGTTTTCAAATGGCTTGGAAAAGACACTGTCTACTGATACTAAATGTTCCATGCCCTCTCCCAATTTCTCACCCATATGACAGTGCTTTTGGGCTTCCTCCACAGACATCACCCACTCCAATCTACAACTCCCTGGCTCCCAAAATCTGTGGCTGACCTTTTTTTGCTTTTGTGTGGATTTATGATTTTGGTGTTAATATAGTTTTATTTATTTGGACAAAAAAAAAGAGTTCATACATCTTGTCATTTGTTCTGAGCAAACTCTCTTTTGGCTCTTAACGTGCTCAGGTGAGATATGTGGCTTCAGGATTCATGGACAGAATGTGCCCTTCGAGGCCGTGGTCCTGGACAAGTCCACTGGCGAAGGGGTCATCCGGGCCAAGGACAAGCTGGACTGCGAACTTCAGAAGGAGCACACCTTCACCATCCAAGCCTATGACTGTGGAGAGGGTCCTGATGGCACCAATATGAAGAAATCCCACAAGTGAGTCAGCATCTACCACTGCCTAAGTCTCTGTACTCAAACTGAACCCTCTGTTTGACTGCAGTTAAAACAACAAGTTCACCTCATAGCAGATGATTTTAATAATCAGTAGACTAATCAATAATGAAAATAATCACCATTTGCAGCCCTAAGAAAATCCAGTTGTAGCCTTAACATGGAATGCTATCAGTTATATCTTTGAGAACAGTTTGTGACCACCAGTGGATAAACTGAACTATGGGCGGTGTCACATTTATTCATGAAGAAGATCAATACAAAAACAGTCCTGTTTGTACTGTATATTTTCTTTGTCACCGTAGTAATTAAGTGTGAAAAATAGAACATTTTGCTGTTAAAAAGTGTTATTGCTGTTGTTTCTGGCTAACAAAGCATCCTAACTTGACTTTGTCCCTGTCAGGGCCACTGTGCACATCCAGGTGAATGACATCAACGAGTATTCACCGGTGTTCAAGGAGAAGTCCTACAAAGCCACTGTTATTGAGGGGAAGAAGTATGACAGCATCCTGAAGGTGGAGGCAGTAGACGCTGACTGCTCCTTCCAGTTTAGTCAAATCTGCAATTATGAGATTGTCACCCCTGATGTGCCCTTCACCATAGACAAAGATGGTAAAGACCCTCTCATAGCTGCTGCGATTTTATTGACACACATCACATTGTCTATTGATCTGTGTAAACAATGGTGCTGCAAGTCTGTCATTTAGAATTCAGTGCAGCTTGCGAGACAGTGATGGTTTCCTTGAAGTACCACCCAGTTCGTCAGCCATTCGTGTCAGACTGTAGCATTGTTTTTGTGTGTTGTTAAACAAAATTAAAGTTGTAGTGAAAACAGACATCAGATAACCAGGCTCATCTGATGTTATGCTGGCTTGGATTAAAAAGGAAATGCAGACAGGCGACAATGTGAGGAGAACAATCAGCATGGTTCAACTGTGATATCTAATTGGCTTTTGGGGTGAAAAAAAAAAAACTGAGATCTGATCATAGTCCAGCAAATTCCATTACTCTTCTTTTAATCACTTGCATGCTAATCAGATTCTGTATACATTGTAGCTTGGTAATATCTCAGGCAGAACAATTTGAAATATTACAATGTGGCCTTAAGAGACATCAAATAAATAGAGCATGCTTTATGGTCATGAACTTTGGGTCATGACCAAAAGGGCAAGATCCCGGATACAGGCGGCCGAAATGAGCTTTCTCCGCAGGGCGGCCGGGCGCACCCTTAGAGATAGGGTGAGGAGCTCGGTCACCCGGGAGGAGCTCAGAGTAGAACCGCTGCTCCTCCACATCGAGAGGAGCCAGCTGAGGTGGCTCGGGCATCTGTCTCGGATGCCTCCTGGACGCCTTCCTGGGCAGGTGTTCCGGGCATGTCCCACCGGGATGGAGGGACTATGTCTCTCGGCTGGCCAGGGAACGCCTCAGCATTCCCCCGGAGGAGCTGGAGGAAGTGTCTGGAGAGAGGGAAGTCTAGGCATCTTTGCTTAGACTGCTGCCCCCACGACCCGGTCCCGGATAAGTGGAGGAAAATGGATGGATGGATGGATGCTTTTTGTCCAGCTTGACAGTTAATCATTTTTGGGATTGTTGTGTCTGGCAGAGCTGGCGGTTCAGTTGAATCTAGAGTAGCCCAGGCACTTCGACTTCTGTTTTTCCTCTGCTTTGCTCAGGCTTCATCAAGAACACAGAGAAACTGAGCTATGGCAAAGAGCGCATGTATAAGCTGACTGTGACTGCCTACGACTGTGGAAAGAATCGGGCCTCCGAGGACGTGCTGGTCAAGATCAGCATCAAGCCCACGTGCAAACCCAGCTGGCAAGGTATCAAAGCTCTTCTCTGCTCACTGTAGCTTGCCAACCATCTCTCATTAGATGAACAAAAGTAATCCACTGACATCGAGGCCACACAATCTACCACTGTCAAAAAGGTTATTAAACTCATTTAAACCTTGAGTTTTTTTATCATGTTGAAGTCCTGAGGTACTTCATTAAGAGTAATTAATATTGTCAGCCCCTGTATTCACTTATCACCTGTTATCAGTGCTGCTCCAAAGACAGTCTTTTCAGTTTTCCCTCTCTCTCTCTCTCTTTTCCAGGCTTCAATAAGAGGATTGAATACGAGCCTGGCACAGGTAGCCTGGCCCTATTCCCCAGCATGCACCTGGAGACCTGTGATGAGCCAATTACCTCTATTCGGGCCAGTATTGAACTGGAAACAAACCATATTGGGAAGGGCTGCGACCGTGATACTTACTCTGAGAAGTCGCTGCACAAGCTGTGCGGTAAGTATATGCTTCACAGGAAATGGTTGTCGTCAGCAGTTGGAATCATAACTCTTTATTGATAAAGCCGGGGATCTAATATAATTCCCTTTGTTGTCTTTGATTGTTTTTTAGGAGCAAGCTCCGGCACTGTGGAGCTCCTTCCTGCACCCAGCAGCTCCGCCAACTGGACGGTAGGGCTTCCCACGGATAACGGGCATGACAGTGACCAGGTGTTTGAGTTCAATGGTACCCAGGCCATCAAGGTGCCTGATGGCCTGGTGAGCACTAGCCTGAAAGAGCCTTTCACCATCTCTGTGTGGATGAGACATGGCCCTGGGGCCCATGAGAAAGAGACCATCCTCTGCAACTCTGACAAGACAGGTAATGGTCATGGAGAAGAGTAAAAGCATTTAAGAGTTGTCTAAAAACATTTTGGCTGCTGCTGGACTGTGTCAACGCTTCAGTTTTTTTGTTTTAGTTTTTTTATGAGGTGAAATTGGTTTGCATGTAGTCAACTATAAAAACACAAAAAGCATATTTCACTAGAGGTCTCATTTCTGATCCAGAAGGCTAGCTGATTCTCCATAACATGAACCTGCCACTTTGTTAAGAGTTGCTCACATCAGTAATGTTTGTAAAAATCTACTGAATAAAAGTCCTGTACATTTTACTTTAAAAGTTTGTCTCTCTGAGCTTCTACCTGTTAGTTATATCATCACAAATATAAAAATATAAACACTGCAGCCTCAGTTCTTAATCAGTGTTCATGCTCAGCTGGCTGACTAACACATGGAAACATACTTCCTCTTATATTATCTTTGTCACCCCGGCGAGCACGCGCTGACCTTTCCACTTTTGTCACTGGTTGTAAATTATGTGTGTGGTCACATGCTCCTTGATCTGATTGACTGTAAATTCTCAGGCGTGGCCAACGAGGGGAAGGCGGCTCATCAGCTTCTGTCTGACTGCTTATATAAATAGGATTACATGAGAATGGCTGATGGACAGGAAGCCCCCATATCCATGATCTCAGCACCATTCCTGACCTTTAGTCCGTTTCACAGAGACATGCACTATGCGACTCGCATTCTTGTTTAGATTGTATTACTGAAACTACATATTAAACACTAAACCTGTGAAACATGGACATTAAACTGTGTGACTACAGAAGGGGTGGAAGAATTAGGCCTATGTTTACCAGCATAGCATGGTTATTTTTTGATTGGATTGAATGCTCTCCTAAATGCATATCATGAGTCACCAGCCTGCCTTAAAATGTCTTACTTAGTCTATAACTGTCAGAAAGCAGACAAATCTAATACTTGTTTGGTTTATAGTGTCTGCTGGTTGAATTCTGTTGTTTTTGCTGGTTTCCTTCCAAAACAAAAAAAAGATGCAACTTTGGTGAAATGATTGTGGAACTAGTTTCAAATATATCTTCTTTGTCTCTGTAAGAATGTGTCAAGGCATGTTGTAATTATAAGAACAAGAAATGGCCTAGATTAAATGTCATGGGCTAGTGAGAAATTCTAGTAGTTTGTTTCATCATTAGGCGCAGAGCTACAAGCTTGTGGCTGTAACTAACAACATTTTCTAGTAATTTACTGCCCTCTTTCGTGTAGTCATCAGATGCTAGTGAAATACAGTTGTATTGTGTTACAGTGTGGTAATTGTTTTTTGCCTCTGCTGACCTCTACAGATGTTTCAGAAGGTGAATTTAGTAATACCAGTAAATGTCTTCTTTTCAGTCTTGGGGTGGGGCAGGTGATTAAAAAAATCACAGCCCGTCTTTAGAATATTTACATATTCAGCTACGCATTTACATTGAGATTTTAGGGTTAATAGTCTGATCTCCCCTCTCATCGTCTCCTTGGCAGAAATGAACAGACACCACTACTCACTTTACGTCCACAACTGTAGACTGATCCTTCTGCTCCGCCAAGATCCATCAGAAGCTGAGAACTACAAACCAGCAGAATTCCACTGGAAACTCGACCAGGTCGGCTACTTCTACTGCTACATGCGGCGCCACTTAACTTAACCTGTATGTAACATTCACAGTGCAGACTTTGTCTTTTCACTCAACCTGTTGTGCTCTCCCCAGGTGTGTGACAAAGAATGGCATCATTATGTGCTGAATGTGGAGTTCCCCACTGTGTCTTTGTTTGTGGATGGGAGTGCCTTTGAGCCCTTCCTGGTTACAGAGGACTATCCACTGCATGCCTCCAAGATTGAAACTCAGCTCACCATTGGTGCCTGCTGGCAAGGTAAACTCTTAAGAAATTGGTTGGAAGACTGCTGCAAAATTAAATGGGTCACAACACATGGTTGATAACACTGCATCTGATCGCTAGAATGATAATCTGATGCCACCTGATATTTTATTGTTAGCTGTTGCAGTATTCACACTCTCTTAGACTCTCCTATGATGCACCATGACACTGTATGTAGCATCTGAATCTCTCCTGTAGATCCTCAACCTTCTTTCCTGTCTCTCCCGGCTTTCTTGTTTCTGTCCCTTACAGAAAACTCAGGACATGACAATGACACTGAGACAGTGTCTGAGCCCACCTCAGGTTGCTCACGTCTTTCCCGTACTTCAGATATGTCCATGTGTCCACAATGTCCCTCCACGCTAATTGCATCCTCATATCATTTTGACTAGAATGATTCTTACACATTCTAGACGCAGAAAGATTTTCCTTTTTATAACTGTTTGCGGCGCAATGCAGTGTGATTTTAATGCTGCCTTATTTATTTATTTGCATTTTCTTCATCCTCCATTTATACATTCTTGTCAGTGCAGTAGCCAGGCAGTCGTACTTCACCACAACCTGATACACAAGCAGAATATAAATAGACACATAATGAGCACAAACTCTGACCTGGCTGCAGAATTTTGGCTGTATAGGCTCTTCTTTCAGAACATGACCTTGGGGTCAGCAGCAGTAGCTCCTTCATATCAGATAACAAAGCTACAGCAGCACTGGACTGTGTGACCTTGAGATGCGGAGGTCCAGGTTTCTGTCTCACTTTGCAGTTGAACAGGCTCATTATGGTTTAGCAGCAAGACATGACACAGTTGACTGATGCACCTCTAACAGTAACACTAAAATACATCTTTTAGTCTTCAAGACGGTTCCATTATTTTGTTAAGAGGATTAATTTCATCACTATTTCAGGTCCCTTCTTTTGAGTTGCTTTTTTCTGTTGATGCCATTTTTTCCCCAGTAAGGCAGTGGTTCACCCTGTTAATGCAGATGTTGCATGTGTCTAAGGTGTATATATGCTCATCCATCATTCTCCTGTCTTGCACTTTGGGCCTCAGGCCTAGTAAGGGCAGACATACTAACTTGCATGAATGGCATTCATGCCAGCTTTGCATATTGAGACAGCATGCCTGAACTGTCAGCCCAGAACAGGTGAAATCTGTGGAATTTTCACTTGAGTAGCTGCTTTTGATATTTGTGTTACTATTTTACTCTCCTCATCTCAATCCTGATGTACCCAGGTGGAAGCGCTCGAATGGCTCAGTTTTTCCGGGGGAACCTAGCAGGGCTGATGATCCGCTCTGGCAAGCTGGAGAATAAGAAGGTGATCGATTGCCTGTACACCTGCAAAGAGGGCCTGGACGTCCAGTTGCCAGAGGAGGTGGCTTCAGCTGTCAAGGTGAGGAGAGCAAAATGTTTTAGAGACAGAAATCACACTCAACCTCAGTCAGGCGGGGTCTGAGTGTATCTCTGCACCAAGAAGGTGGTCTACCTACCACAGCCTTTTGGCCTGCGACTTCTCAAGGGGAAGTAAAGTCTACTCTAAACTCTTTCCATGGGTTGCATTCATGTTTGAATTATGAGCAGCTGAATAATAAAGGCCTAAAGATTTGAGTTGATCCAATTAAAAAAGCAGATATTAGAGAAAACTTAGAAACAATAAATGAAATTTTTCCTGCAATGCCTCAGATTAACATGTAACCACTTGGGGGATCCTGACCGCAAAGTTGGTAACTGCTGCTCTCAGTGAAAGGTTTTTAAAATGTTTTTTAAAAAGCATGAACTCAACATATATCTACTAAATATAGGAACCAATTAGGAATAATCTTGTGGGTGAGTGACTGTGGGTACAAGTGCATTGCATGTGTTGTGTGTTAAATCACAAAGTATCTTAGCACTTGTTTTATTATTTGCTGATTAGTCTCAAGGGGAGACAATTTTGCCTCAAATCACACAGAGCATCACGCTGTTTTCCTCTGTCAGGTGGAGTTCAACCCCAACCAGTCCTCCCTGACCGTGGAGGGTGATGAAATCGATGCCTTTGACAAGGTCATGCAGCACATCTCCTACTTGAACTCCCGCCAGTTCCCAACCCCTGGCATCAGACACCTTCGCATCTCCACCACTGTCAAGTAAGTAGCAGAAGCCAAAAATACTTCAGCTGTGTTTAGCATCGTCTCTATCGTGTCACCTCAGCTGTCAGTCAGCAGAAGCCTAGCGTTTGTGAAATGTTCTTTCTGCCTAATAGACATTCAGGGAGGGTTCATCTTTCTGCTTTAAATGGGTTTCCGGGGTAAAATAGAAGTCAAGAGTTGCACCTGATCTCCATAATAAAGACGAGATGACACAAGATGTTGTTGTTGAAGACAGAAGAGCTGTATGATTTTGTTTTTTAATTCTCTTTTGATGTGGATTTTTATAACAGTGATGTATTGAGACACTGAAAAGTGAACAGAAGAGCAGAACATTTATAGATGATGTATCTCAGGTTTATGCTCAGCCGATTTCAAGGTCAGTTCCAGTTAGTGTTGCAGTTTGACGTTTATCCTTAGTGGTATATGGACAAACCTACATCACCAATGACTGTTGCGTGGTCTGAGCAATTAGACCAAATGGCAGATTTTCCTTATACCGACAATTTTTTATCTATAAGTGGAACTTCCTGCTTGTGGTGCCATTACATTTAAATGAATGAAAAGGAAGACCTCAAGTAAGCATTTCATCTACGGAGCTGCACAACAGTTTGCAGTCATAGTGAAATGAAAAATTGTTTTTTATCCACATTATTATATGTATATGTAAGTTTACCAATAAAAAATGTATTCCTGCTTTGTTTCCTATAGCTGCTTTTACACGGAGATGACAGCAAACTGCTGGAATTTTGACCCTCCTTCAAGGCGACTTTTTTAATTTAAGCCCTTATACACTGAACTGCTCCTGTATGCATTTTACACAACTGCCTGAATCCCGGTACTAGAGGCGTGATGCTTATCATGATGTCCGACAGTCCGTGTACTTCGCGGTTAATTTGAAAATTAAACAAACGGTTTGCTGCTGATGCTGCTCTCTCTTCTCATCCACTCCCTCGCTACGTGGCCATCTTCTGTGGTCTTATTAGCTAAGGGTTTTCACCCTGAATTCCCTTTTTCCCTTAGACCCCATTGTTTCAGTCCAATTGGCTTGAATTTATTCACATTCATTCGTCATGTTTGTTGAACCTGTAACAGCCCATTTCAGTGTTGTTTCCTCATGCCCCTACCGTATCTGGACATACAGTATATTTGATTATGGAAGTAGTAAATCAGAACCAGCATCAAACAGTTATGTCTTTAATCTTCCCACAGGTGCTTCAGTGAAGAGTCCTGTGTAACGGTGCCCGATGCCGAAGGTTATGTGATGGTGCTGCAGCCTGAAGAACCCAAGATCAGCCTGAGCGGTATTGACCACTTTGCCCGCAGCGCCACCGAATTCGAGAGCCAGGAAGGTGTGATGCTGTTCCCTGAGCTACGGATCGTGAGCACCATCACCCGGGAAGTAGAGGCCGACCCTGAGTCTGAAGCAGTAGGGGGAGCCAATGATGACCCCACAGGTAAGAGAAATTTGATAATGTTATAGGGAATGTTTAGATATAGCTGCCCCATTTCTCAGTGGATTATTTGTGCTGTTCACTAAACAGCTTGCTCATGTTTTGAGTTGTATACACTGACTTTCTGGGTGTCACTGTCACATAGCTAATCTTACTGTGCTCCTAAGGTGGTGTGATATAGAGCGATGCTTCTCGGTTGAAACTGCCTTGCACACTGAATGGGCCCCCAGACACAGTGCATTTACAGTTGATAGCTGGGTAGATATACAATAACTGGTGGGTATTATGCCTGGAGGGTGAAGGGATTGGACAGACAGTGAGAGGGAGGGAGAGAGAAAAGAGATAAGATGGTTACTGCTTCAAGGGAGGAGTCAGTTGTTGAGCCGTGCCATCTGGTAGGCTTGTATGTGAGCTCAGAGGAGAGACAATAGACCTGCACTGAGACTGACACAGATACAGGGAGATACAATGTTCTGTGGTGAACAACAGACCATATGGGATAAAAAGACTTAAAGTGATCTGTGCTGTTACCTGCATTACCCTACCCCACCTTAAATAACCACCAACAAGAGCCGTCTCATCCGATGATCAAGAATCATTTGATAGGAGCTTCTATAAATTCAAAGGGTGCAGAATGTATGCGAATGATGTATTGATTTGTTTTATAGGCAACCTGGACATATAGTAAAATTAAAATTTGTTTATTAAATTACCTTTCAAATGAGCAGTTTTCTATATCTTACACCTTTAATCTTCAAAAATTAAAACTAATAGAAGATCAAACTTGGAGTTCTACTGACAAAGTTGCACTGTGCTGCTTTTTAACATAAAACATCAAACATATTTGTCGCAGTAGTTCATCATGAAGGACAGGTTTTACTGATGACTGTGTATACTGTATATGTAATAGAGTACCAGAGTATTTCAGCTTGTTTGTGTTTGAAGTATGGGCTGTGGAAGTTAGAACAGCTCTGTTCACTGTGTTATCTAGGCTGCTTACTCATCCCTCTGTAACCCTTAAACTTTTTAGAGGGTTGTCATTGATTGATCTCTTCAGCTCAGTTTCTTCTTTCTGCTCTGTGTGAACTATTCTGAATAAAGTGCAGTTTCAGATGTTACTGCAAGAATGTCATATTTTTCTTATCTTTTATAAATTTACACTGTGAGTGTGACCTACAGCTCCTCATTGTAAAACTTTTTTCTGTGCTATTCATTTAGTCCAAGAGGCCGTGGTATCGGAGGAGATCATGCACAACCTGGACACATGTGAAGTGACTGTGGTGGGAGATGAGCTGGATGGGGAGCATGAGAGCCTGGAGGTGGACATGCCCCCGCTGCAGCAACATGGGCTGGAGATGAGCTCCTCTAACCTGGGCCTCGTCATCACTGGTACACACCACCGAGCTGCAACCCTGGGTTCAATATGAAGACAGCTCATAATATAATGAGAGCTGTGCAGACAGAGCAGCTTTACATAGACAGTAATGTCTATAATGCTGAGAGCTCAGAAATAAGCATAAAATTATGTAATCATCTGTACTGTACATGTGCAGCAGTGTTGGATTTTAGGTGGTCATTACCTACATTGAATCTACTCTGTCAGTGAGTATTTACATGCAAAATTATCATGTTTTCCGATTAAATGGGGAGCGTTTAATGCTTTTTGATGTCTGTGTTCCAGGTGTGAACACCATGGCCAACTATGAGCAGGTCCTGCGCCTTATCCATTATAAGAACTGGCACACAGAGGCTCTTTTTGACAGGAAATTCAAACTGGTCTGCTCAGAACTCAACGGTCGCTACATTAGCAATGACTTCAGGGTTGAGGTACGACCACCTTTTATTTCAGTTACATAACATAACCTTGACTTATCCGCAGCACATGACTTCAATCTTTCTTGTGTTTGCTGAAATGCTGATGTGTTGACAGGAGTCTGTGGCACTTTACATGTGTGTTTCTGGTTTTTATTATTTCTAGGTGAATGTAATCCACACAGCTAGTCCCGTGGAGCATGCTAACAATGCCATGGTGCAGCCGAACTTCATCAACCCCGTTCATCACGCTTCAGTGGATCTGCCTGGTCACAACCTGGTCAACGCTCACCAGGCCTCAGGTACTGAAACATGGTAGCCTGATATGTGAAATGTGGTTTTTGAGTTTGTCCTGCTACAATACAAACCAAGAGTGTGTCCACTTTTCTCCAGGTTCCTTTACAATCACTTGATGACTAATGCTTCACCTTGATCCTTTATAAATTGACAGGCACCTACTGAAACTTCCCACAGTTGCAGTATTTTACTTACTGTTAAAGTAGTGAATATCAAATGTCATAATCAAACTAGTAACCTGCTTAAGTGTTTTACTGTAGAACAAATATTTGGTTTGGCTAGCACTGCTGTGGATGCATTACGCTTTATTAACCAGAAATAGGACACTGTTTGTTTGCCTGTTTTTTTATGGCACAAGTTTAGGGATTACACTTGAGTGCCGTTTGTGACATCTGTACAGGCAGTGCTCTGAGCACCAACTTCTATTTCCCACCTTCCATAATCTTCTGGACTGTCAGGCTGACTAAGCCTGCCACCACACAAGAGAAGCCCTTTTCTGTTAATATGGGGCAAAGTGGAGCAGGTTGGCAGGAGACAGGCAGGCAAAGCTATTTAAAGAAAGAAACACCTAGACCTGCAGAAAGCATTCATTTACAGTTTACTAAGAGCACATTAACATCAGCACTGGAAGACAATGAAACTGAATGCCAGGGAGCTGTCTCTCCCCACATAGGTGTAAACGTGCCCATGTGCAACTTGAACACATTTAATACTTAACCCGCCATTTTGTGTTTGTTTGCGTCCTCACAGTGGTTCCCAGCGCTGCCACCATAGTCATTGTAGTGTGTGTTAGCTTCCTGGTGTTTATGATCATCCTGGGTGTGTTCCGCATCCGAGCTGCACACCAGCGCACCATGAGAGACCAGGAGAATGGCAAGGAGAATGAGATGGACTGGGATGACTCAGCCCTCACCATCACTGTCAACCCCATGGAGGTAAAAACACAAAGTGTTTGCAGTGAGCATGTGTCTGGTGATTAGCCTGTGAACAGCTGTCTAACAGAGTTTCACTTCCTAACTTATCCACATTTGTGCTAAATCTTAGTTAATGCAGCTCTAAATATCTGACATATTGAAAATGACAGGGATTAGGCACACTGTATTTTGCAGGAGTTTCTTGATCCAAATACTGGATCAGGTCCTGGTTCCAAAATATTAAGTTTATTAGCTTCAATTCTTGATATGAATAAAAGAATAACTGGTAGCTGGACAACACATCCTCAGAACTATAGATTCATTACAGGGCAGGTACTTTGTGTAACCAGTCCCAATTCAGATATCCCTGTGTGACAGTTCAATAATGCTGCATTGATTGATTGATGTAACAGATGATAGATCATAGATCATATGCTTTAATTGTTATTGCTTGATTAATTCAATTGACACATAGATGTCAGTTTGTGAAG